ATGGCCATAAATTCTAGGGCTATTAAAATTTTTTCCAAGTATAAAATGTCCCTGTTGAGGGACCGAGCTCTTCGAAGAAAGGCCGAGCAGGGCCATAACTTCAAGAGCTACTAAAATTTTTCTAAGTATAAACGTATTTTTTTTTTAACCAAGCTCTTTGAAGAATGGTCAAGCAAGGGCCATGACTTTAAAGACCTCAAAATTATTCTAAGTGCATAATAGTTTTCTAGACATTCATCAAAATAAGTTGCAAAAGGGAAAATTTGTGATTTTTATTTCATTTTGAACTGAGTACAAAAAGATCTGCATAATACAAAAGGACCGGCAGGCAATTACATTCAAAAACCTCCCAAGTGTTGATTACGAAGCAAGTGGCTGGAAAGAGCTCGGAAGAGCATGCTTGGAGAAAAGTTCTGATGATGATGGAACTTCAGCAGCAGTTAAAGCAGCATGCCACCCTTTGTTGAAAAATACATCACGAATTGGAGGGATTTGTAGGGCTAAGTCTTCTTCCACCTTCTCTACTCCCTTATCATAAGCGGCTTCCACCTTCTTTTCAGCCTCCGCCTTGTATTGATCAAATTCTTCCAGCAGACTGGAGTAGTCAAGATGGGATTGGGAGTGCTCAACATTAGCCTCATGCTCTGAGTCCCTAAGCTTGCCAACCTCTGCTTGAAGCTTCTGGTTCTCTTTAGACAGGCTTTGGTTTTGAACCTGCAGAAGCTTCACCTCTTCGCAAAGTTTTGCATAGTGCTCGTCTATATGCTTCTTCTTGGCCAGAGCCGAAGCTCGGGCATGGATGGCATCCTTCATTACTTTATCTTTATGAGCAATCCGAGCTTCGACCTCATGAACTTTTTGAAGACCCTTAAAGTCATGAAGGAGGAAAAGACTTAGAAAATTTTTTTTGAAGAAAAGAATGAAAGACTAAAGGAGCAAGACTTACCAAAATCATATGTTGAATAGCCTAGCGGGACACTTCATCATCAATTAATGCTTCGTTCATTGCAAGGTCCCTGGGCAGGATGACCCCTCTAGCAAGCCCTACTACAACGTTAAGGTCCTCAATTATCGAGTCCTTCAAAGTAATTTCTTTTCTTTTGGCCCTAAGGACAAGGCGGAATGTTGCACTAGCCGGCCTTGGGGATGGGGATGCTTTAGACTCTACAATCTTGTGCCTCTTCGGGGCTAGGTCTTCAGCAAGTTCAAAAATTGAATCATCGTGGTCGATCGGGAAATGAACAGGAATTGGAGGGTCTATCTCAATTGGAGTAGAAGTTTCAGCATCTGGGGCTAGACCAGCTTGGTCACTTGGGGGCAGACCTACATCAATTGCTTCGGAAAGAATCTCGTCGGGGATGACCTTGGAGATGAGCTCATCGAGAATAGTGATCGGAGGCTCAGTAGTTGTTGGGATCGGTTCACTAGTTAGGGTCGGCTCAACAGTATACAAAAAATCCAAGAAGTTCAACGACCACAGGCTGCTAGGGAAGTTCTCTTTTTTTGCTCGGGGAGTCTTTTCCTGAGCAGTTTGGATGGCCTCTCGATCTGCTACAAGCGTTGCATTGGGTTGGTTCAACATGACGATGAAGGATGTGTAGGTTGGTGTGTAACCAAGTAAAGTATGGGCAGAATAGTGATTTGTTAAAGTCCCAAACCTTTTGAAGTTGATCCAACTTAATAGAAGACTCAGAAATCTTGCCTTTCACAGTCTCGCCTACACAAGTATTATATCAGATGCAGTAAAATAGAGAATATAACGAATGTTTTTTAGGAGAAGAAGATTCAAGTACCTGGCATGCCTTCTTCATAAGGGCAGCGATAGGATGAAGTGACACCAGGAGCGTATTCCCAGTTGCCAAAAACAAACACCAAGTCATTCTCATGACCCTTGTTTGAGTCTGGAAGGTGGTTTACCAAATACCTATCTTTCTTCCTCACCGATAGATAGTAGCTATCGTCGGCAACCTTGATAATGTAGTAGTACAAAATCTCTCACAACCCAAGACTCAAAGCCAAATAGGGCAAAGTTAAGGCAGCATTAGAAAAGGCAAAATTTTGAGGTAGATAGAACCCAGAGAAGAAGAGGATCAAGTGGAAAACGAATCCCACCCTTAGTAATGGCACGAGTAGGGATGATAATTCTCTTTCTTGTGCCAATCAGGGGCTCATCCTTCCCAACAACTCTAATCTCAACATCGTCTAAATGTTGTACTTGATTTTGAAGGCAGGAACTTCTGAGGGAGTAAGAGGGGCCATTGAAGAAGACGAAGTTCAGAGGAAGAAAACACAGAAAGAAAGTGGGTCTGGAAGCAAAAAGGCGAAGTGAATGAAATATGAAGAGAGTCGGTTTATAAAGGAGGAATTTTAAAGGGCAATATTTAAATACCTTGAATATGCCGCCAAAACAAAGGGGGATATTACAAAGTACAAATAATAATGATGAGAAGGTAAGAAAATGACTGACAGATGAAAAACGTCTGTCAGACATTTTCTGAGGGCAAATGAAGGGGTTAAACCTCATGATTACGCGTGATATGACATTAAATGTGCTCACGTGGTATTGACAAGGCAAGACACGTGATGAAGAATCCTCTATTAAGCCTTTTAACCAAGTCGAACTAATTAAAGGTTCGATAATCAAAGAAAAAGTTTAGTTCTCTTTATGACCGAACTCATCAATCTATTCAGCTAAGTAAGGAAAGAGATCGGCTTGTACCAAGCCGAGTTCATTAAATTGTTCGGGAAGGCGATAGAAGAGACCGGTTTGTGCCAAGCCAGGTCCCTAAAACTGTTCGGCAAATATCGAGTCTGTTCGGCATTTGCTATGTCCGAACTGTTCAAAACGATAGATGGAAAAATAAAGATTCGCCTATAACTTAGACAATCAGATAAATGAATCAACGAAATTGTAAATATCAGGAGGAATTGTTAGAGAAATATCAGCAACTTCCCAAACTGAATGACTGAATTGAAGGAAGGTGTGCCGCCTTGAATGAAAATTTATGGAAACCCTAAGGGGACAAAGATCTATAAAAAGCAGAAGAGACCAAGGTGAAAGGTACGCTGAACTCTCCTTGTCTTCTAGTAATTATTATGTTCCATTACTGACTTAAGCATCAGAGTGCCTTCGATCGAAGTACTTCGATTTTGGGCAGTTTGTTAGTTTTGTAGAACAGGAAGATTGTGAGATCAAGTTCAAAAATATACTTTACCAGAAATATCAAATCCAACCTTTAGTGAGAGGTATAATCAATTTTTACCTCTTACAGCAACAAATAACACTTGCATATCATTCATTATCCTTTTTTGCATTATTTTTAATGAGTGAACTTTCGCTTCAAGTCAACTAACTTAGTCCTATATGTCTGACTTTGATACTAATTGTTACGTGCACATTTTGAGAAATTTTGAAAATAAATAAAAAATAGAATTGGAGAAGAAAATTCACTTCGAGGGGGGTGAAAACCTCTAATGACTCAATTCGAGAAGAACCGAATCTCCAAAACTTCTACAAAAAAATTTAATATAATATTTAACATAATTTTTACATTGATAGCACGTCTTTAAATACATAATGAAAATAACTATAAAGATAACTAAAACACCCCATTATCGTACTACTTAGATAACCACCTAAAAAACTACTCACAAACAATCTATCACTAACCTATTTACTAAAATAATTTTCTAATAATTACTTCAAATATTATATAAAAATATATTAAAAATGTCTACATAACACCCTTCACATGGGGTGATTTGCTTTGGTCGCCAGAAATCTTTCACAACTAGCTTTGTTTTTGGTCTTGCGGTGGATGAAGTTGTGTCGAATGAGACTAGGGCTTTTTCATTTTGATTGGTTGATGAGGGAGTTTGTCCAAAATACCCTCCTATATTTCACATGAGTTGTCGGTCCATGTGATTTGGTTTGGTATTCAAAATCATAGTTATCAAAATTGGACCGGACATCGAATCGACAGAGGGACCGAGTCAATAGTTTAGTGGTTCAACCACTGGGTCAACTGGTTAGACCAGTCGAATAATAAAAAAATTATAAAATTATAAAATATAATAATTTGGCTAAAAAAATATAAAACATGTACCTAATACATATAATTTACCATAAATTATTTAAGTATAAAAAAATACATGTGTTAAAAATAAAAAATACTGTTAAAAAAATTTTGTTCTTAACATTAGTTGACAAGAATACTAAAAAAAAACATCAGTTAACTTAACCAAGTAACAATAGCAGCTGTTGAACAGCTTGATACAGTTGTTCAAAAAAAAAAAAAGCTTGATATAGGAGAGGAGTGAGAGCGAAGGCCTCCACTTAATTGAAGCTCAAACGAGGAGCGAAAAAGCTTGAAGGAGCGAAAAAGCTTGAAGGAGCGAAGAAACTTGAAGGACTGAAGCTGTGAAGCCTAAAGGACCGTTGACCGAAGCTGTGATCTATGAAGCTTGAGCAAATAAAGATCGAGTGGAGAAGGAGTAGCTCAATCAAACTTGAGTGGAGAAGACGATGGAGTGAAGCTTGATCTGTGAAGCTGTGACCTATGAAGCTCGGTGTGGTTTGAATCTGGTCTGGTTCACCAACGCCTGAGTAGAGAAGATGACGGAGATGACTAGATTTGAGGGTTTTTATGAAAAAGGCAGTAGAACCGCTCGGTTTAACTAAATCGTCTAATTCACTATTTTTGTCAAAAATCGGCCAATTTGGCGATTTTCCGATTTAACTCCTTATGCGGTTCAATTCAAGAACCGAACCGGCTAAGATCTCGATTCACGGTCTAACTGACCAGTCCGATTCGATTCGAATAACACTATTCAAAACAAATGTGGACGAAAGTATGAAATTGAACTACAACCGATACTTTAAGGATTATATTGTCCAAATTGAAACTACAGGTACCAAGTATGAACTTCATCAATACTTTAAGTATGTAAATCGTAATTCACCATTTTTTTTTAATTCAAATCAAGCTGTTCAAAATCCTCCCACCTTTAATCCCTCCAACGCCTTCACAAACCCCCGGTCCACATCCGAAAGAGCCACTAAACCCTATCCACTGCAAAACCATGTCCGACCGCGACCGAGCTCGCGATCGAGACCGAGATAGTGTGAGAAAGAGGGACAGAGATGATCGTGATCGTGATCGCGATCGTGAGCGCGAAAGGAAGGACCGTGATCGTGAGCGTGAGCGTAGCAAACGTTCCCATACACCCGACCGCACTCGATCCCGACACACCCGTTCCCGTACTCGGTCGCCGGACCGCGACCACCACCGCTCCGGTTCCTATTCCCACTCCCCGGACCGCCACCGCTCACGGTCCCACCACCACCGCAGCCCCTCTCACGACCCACCGCGCAAACGCCACAAACGCGACGACCAAGGAAGTGAAAAGGACCGCCAGAGAGCCGCCGTGTCGGAATTCGTGGACGGCATTGTCAGAGATCAGAAGAAGCAGAAACAGAAGGAAATTGGTGGAGTACAGGATGGGAATGAGGGGGAGATTGATGTTGATGAGATGGAGATGATGAAGAAATTAGGTATTCCGGTAGGGTTTGATTCGACCAAAGGGAAGCCTGTTGCCGGGAACGATGTGGGCGGAGTTAGAATGGTGACTAAAAGACAGCCGAGACAGTACATGAATCGAAGAGGAGGTTTTAATCGGCCTCTACCCTCCGAACAGAACCGTTAATTCAATTTTATTGAGGTTAGGGTTTTTTTTTTTGGACTTTTAGTTTCTAGAACTTGATTTCTATGATACTATTATATTTTTTTGCCTTAATTTGTTATTAACACTTGTTACTGATTGGAGTAATAGTTTGAGATATGCTGTTTATTAGCCAATTTGTGGTTGTTGAATGACTGAGAATTGTTGAAAATAATTATACTTGATCAAGGTACTTTATTACATAATTTATGTTTTTTGTTAGCGGAATTTACTTTAACTGAGAATTGTTGAAAATATTTGTACTTGGCCAAGGTACTTTATTGGAATAATTATATGGTCCAGTGGTAAGCCTGGTAGATTAGTAGCTGTGAGCTTGTAGATTTGATTGTCTCTTTGTGCAAATAATGTGAAAGATTAGGTAGTTACCTGTGTTCTGCTCCTCTTTTCACCTTGATTAATGGTGACCAAATGACCTCCTAGGACAAGGGTTCTTCACATAGTGATATACTAGCGTTTTCATCCCCTCCCCAATGCTGCATTTCTAACAGATCACAACTGTGTATTCCACTTTCATCCCATCCCATATTGTGGAAAATTATCCGCTAATGGGATAAATGACTTTTGATATGGCTAGTTGGTTCAAAAGAATTCAAATGAGTAGTAGTTATATGGGCATCATGGGGAATTTGATTGAAGAAAACTAGTTTATTTTTTGATTTAATAACTCAAAAATTTAATAATTAAGCAAAAGAGGGAAGGAAGGTTTTAAAGCCCTGTCTTCCACAATTGCAACGACTGGTTGTGAATTCCTAATCATTGTACTGTATTGAGTTCATTTTTTTACCTTGGTTCTAAAATAGGACCAGTGAACCATGGATACGGAAAAAGGAAAGATACGATACGGTATGGTGATACGATAAAATCTAAAAAAATTAGATATCGATATGGACATGATATTTCTATAATAAAATAAAATTCATATTTTCACTATTATTTATTGATTGAATATTTATATATTTTGACAATTCTTTAACATAATAAGAAAAATTAATAATTTTTTTAGTTTCAAAAATGTATTTATCATATCATCGTGGTATATTCACAGAGTAAATTGACTAATTAAAGGAATCAAGTCTAATATTTATTTAGTTGACATGTAATAGTAGACAATACTTAAAAAACACTCGCGTGTCTTAAAAATGGTATAAATTTTTGTTGACGTATTGTTTAGTATGTGAATTCGAAAGGAGATGTTAAAAATTAAATTCAAAAATTATACATGTTGCTCGAATACAAATCAATGAAATATCTAAATATTTTATTCTTAGAGGATTCGTAGGTGTATTTGATGTGTACCCTTGAGGATCGTATCCTATACGGGTATGCAATCTCAACGAAGTATCCATGTTTCATAGAATATGATATAGTAATAAATTAAAAGTTTGAAGAGAGAGAGAGACTTTAGAATCAAAAGATTCAATGATGTCAGGTAGCGGATACTTCTATATTTGAGATTAATTATGTATGAAGATGTGGACAAGCGAGAGAGAGAGAGGGAGAGGGAGGATTAAATAGAACATTGCATCTGGTGCATTTTTGTGACCAACGTGTACTTGTTAAGCTAAAAGTTAATTTTATAAAATAACCATTGGACGAGTAGCATTTTATAATACTAAATGTTGGCGGTTAAGGAATAAGTAAATAACATACTTAGTTGAAAATGCAGGCGTTATGATGGATGTGTGATAAAATAAAGTACAAAATTGAGAGAGAGGGGGGGGGAGAGAGATTAAATAGAAGAATGCATATGGTGCATTATGTGACCGACATATACTTGTCAAGCTGAAAGTTAAATTTTATAAAATGATCATTGGACGAGGAATATTTTATAATACTAAATGTTGGTAGTTAAGAAATAAGTAAATAACATACTGAGTTGAAAATGAAGATGTTCTGATGGATGTATGATAAATGAAAATATAAAATTAGATAGTATTTTTGTGAATGGTAAAAGGGTATCATCTCGACTTAGGTGGTTTTTACATATTTGTAGAAGACTATTACTACACCAATTTAGAAGAGCGATGTGATACCTACACAAGGAATGGAGGTAATCAAAGATTATATTTGAATAAAATTGTAAAAGAGGACATGCTAGTTTGCAGTTTAAAAGAGACTGCGATTATTGATAGATCATCTTGGTGGGTCAAGATTCATGTAGCCGACCTAGATAGTTGTGTGGCTGTCTGAATTGAGTTTGGATGGACATTGAAACCTTTTTCTCACTCAGGAAAATAGCCTTAGAATGAAAAAAACTGTATATCGAAGCATGTGATTAGGGAAAATTATTTATAAGCTGAACTTTTGATTAGATTTGATGAGACTTCGCTCGTTCTTTAGTTTTGCCCCATAAACAGTTTTAAGACCTCGTTGGGTAACTCTAAGCATATTTAGTGTCTTTATAACAAGGAGTAGAATTTGAGACCCTGAACTGCCAAGTGATGTAATGTAGTTCTTTTTTTGGGGTTTGCTTTTTTCATTTCCATTGTGACACCAGTTGAGATGGGGATCGAAAAAGAATTGGATAACCATAAAATTCAAGATGAGGATTTTATTTTATTTTTATCAAATTAGTTGATTAGCTAATAATTATCTCATTAGGAGATCTAGAAAATTTTTTGGTAAGGATGCAATACCTATTATTTTGATCAGTATAAATTGAAATTTAATTATTCTCATTAGAGAGTTTGTTTCTTGACCTAATCCTTGTGAGAAATTGGTAATCCCCTTTCTATTCTTTCTTTCCCTTCCCTCTCTACATCAGTTGGTATTAGAGCTAAACTTCAATAAAAAGTCTCATGCCACTGCAACAACTTGCTGGATTGTTGTTGCGAACTCATCATTTCACTATCCACCAGATTCCTGCTGCCAATTACTTCACACTTCTCATTGAGTTAGGGTTTCAACCAAATATTTTCTTGAAACACTAAGAAATCTGATTTTGAGGTTTTGTTGCTGTGGTTCTTTTGAGCTTCTTGCCATCATTATTTTTTGTTGCTTCTTCACAGTCATTGTGCTTTTAGTCAAAGTCACACCAGAATCTCTGACGAAGACAACTCCTATTTGGTGGGTTTCAATAATGTAATCCGGCACTGACCTGGCTCTGTACAATGATCCCCAATTTACATATCTTGACCATACGCCTATAAGCAATCCTAACCACACCCAATCCAACTAAAATCCAGCCCAACTCAATAACCAAGAGATTCCTTCTCTAGAATCAACATTCAAATCCAATCCAAGCCCAACCCAGAAAAGCTGCCGACTTTTCTTTAATTACAGAACTGACCCCAAATATTTTTGAAATTATAGATTTGACCATAAAAAATTCTCAAATTTCAGAATTGGCCACAAATTTTTTGAACTTTTCTCGTAACACTCCACCAATCAAAATGATATCCAATGTATATTTCAATGGCAAAGTACCGGCTTTATTCTAAGAACGTGTTGATGCATAGAAAGAAATGAATGGTAAGTTAGATTCACTTGAAGCATCAATAGGATATTTGTATGAAAGTGTACAAAAGTTGGTTGCCATTCTTGGAGTTAAGCTCCCAACCCACAATTGTTTGAAAAAGCTAGATACCGATTCATCTTTTTCACCCATCAGTCATCAGCAAGTGATTGAACAAGTTTTGCCTCCTCAATTTTTGATCCTATTAGATGATGAATCAGACTTGTTTGATGTTGATGAGTCTGAAAATTCTCTACTTTCATCCTATATTAATTGTTATTGATGATCAAGTTTCCAAAGGTGTCGCTACAAATGGAGTTACTATTTTGTCTGCCGATTTATATCATGCCTTCACCTTTGTTATTTATGTGGAATAGACTATGATATGTGAAGCACCAATGGATTATTTTCTACTCTGGTTATTTACATTACAATTTTCTTGGAATGTAAGATTGTCTTGATCTCTTTAGAGTCTTTTTTCCTTTATAACTACTTAGAGAAAAAGTGTGTTTGATGTCTTGGTATACTTGTGTTACAACTCTTCGGAGAAAAGTTTTTTCAGCCGGGAAGAATTGATGGGGAATGAAAAGGAATTTGATTAGCATAAAATTGAAGATTAAGATTTTATTTATTTTCATTAGATTAGTTGGTTAGCTTATAATTATCTCATTAGGAGGTGTAGATAGAATTTTAGCAAAAGAATACATTTTATGTTGGTAAGACACTGAATCTATAAATAAAGATGTAATTCCTATTATTTTGGTCAAAGTATGAATTGGAATTTGATTATTCTCCGTGGAAAATGTATTTCTTGACCTAATCCTTGCGAAAGTTTAGTAATACCATTTTTATTGTTTCTATCCCTTCCCTCCTTGCATCACTCTTTCAACAATAGAAGAGTCTCCATGACCTTGAGATACTTCACTCGATTTCCCATTTTTAAGATGTTAGGGTGTGAAGTAGGTCCACTTGGGGAAATTTAGGGTCACGTCGACTACAATTGGCTTTGTGGTCCTTTATGGCTACAACTAGATTCTACAGTTAGGATTTTCCAAGGTTGAAGGAAGGTTTTGGGGTTTGTGATTGGAAGCAAATTGGAACTAGCTCAATTGGAAATTGTCCAAAAGATCTTTGGACATAGTGATTTATGGGTTTTGATTTTAAATTAATGGCCAAAGGTAGATTAGTAAAGAGTTGGGCCTTATTAATAGTTGATATGGTGGTGTTTTGTGAATGAGAGCCATGAACGGTAATCTCTGAACATTTTTTTGGTTCTTCCTGAGGTTGTCGTCCTAGGTTAGTTGTTGATGGGGAAAAGTATTTAAATTTGTCAGTTACAGATTTTAAATAGTTGAAATTGTAAAAGTGATATTAGGGTTAGAAAAAAAAAGAGAGAATAAGAGAAAAAAAGAGAGACAAAAGAAAGAGAATGATCAATTGTGTAGGCTATGTTGTCCTACACTCTTATTAACAACCGAGTAATATTTACGATAATTACAATATTATCCTACACCAATTAACTT